TGTTGAACTAATAGATATATATTGTAGTTTCAAATAAATGAATGAATTTCAGAAATGATAATTACGTGCCGATATGGTTGTCGGCATTAAATCGCAATTGATCTGAAATATTAATAATCCCCTCAAATTTTTCAAATTAATCTTAAAAAACTGTAATAAACTTATTGCGAAAAATATTGCCTCGGCCGGGAGTCGAATCCGGATCTCTTGCATTCCGTGCTTCGGATTTTAAAATAATGTTATTTAACATAAACGGTCTTGTTTCCTATCTTATTGATAAAAATAAAGTTATCAAAATTATTTTAGAAATATGATTGAATGTACAATACCGTTTTGTAACATTAAAAAAAAGGATATGTTATGAAAATAATTCCGAAAGACACAGAGCGCCGAATGAATTGGTTAAAGAGTATAAATGACAAATATAAAAATTGGACACCGTCAAAAAATTCATCTGTATGTAAGGTAAAGTAATTTATTCTTTATAAATAATGTATTTAAAGTATTAAAATAAAAATGTAACATAAAATATACACAGATTAATTATAATACCTGAAGACACGGTAGTGTCTTGGCACTAAGTATATGTATAGTCATCACATTGGTTACGAATTTAATTCTTTCTCTTTTTGTCGTAATCTTTTCAATTATATATCATTGTATTGTGAGTCTAAATCAAATAATATGATAATTACGTATTACAAAATGTACAATATTGCAATAGTACAAAATAAATGAAATTTTATAATAAATAATATATGTAAAAGTTTTATTATTTTATATACAATATTATATATATTATTATATTTTATATAATATTTATTTATTATCATTCTTTAATTTGTCACAATTTTTGAGCATTTTTTAGCATGAATTCAAAATTTAAAAAATAATGCGTTTAAAAAACTAGAGGGAATGGCTAAAACATGGCGGACGAATCGCAAGTGATACCCGTATGGCGTCACTCTGATTGTAGGCTCTCTATCCCATTATTCTTATAATTATATTTACAATTTGCAATTTGAATAAAGTTAGAACTCTTCTAATTATATAAGCAAACTACATTTAATTTAAACTTATGAAGAAAATTTATATGAATAAAAATGAATCAACCTTAGAGGCCCTCCACCACCCTCGCCAATTTTTAATGGCGATTCTCTTTTCTTTGTAAGTATATTCCCCCGTAAAAAAACGAATTACTAATAAATTTAGTCGGTTTTTATAGGTAAGTATGTTTTAAATTTATTTTTTAATTTTATATCTCTCTTTTTTACTTTAATTATTTTATTATATTTCGCTAAAATCATATTGCATTATGATTAGCGAAATACAATAAAATAATTAACAATTACATTGCATAGCTTTTTAATATTATCTTTCCTTGTAATTCTTTAATAATACAATAATTATTTACAATACAATGTATAATAAAAAATGTTGTTCGAAATGTATAATAAGAATTATATTATAGGAGCACAATTAATAAAATTTAGTAATGAGGTATTATACGAAAATGTCGAAAATACATATACGATAACACAAATTTTCTAAACCAATGTTTAATGAAATATTGATAAATGTGGTGAAAATACTAACAACAATTAGATCGTACTTACTATTAATTATTAACTTGCGATTATATTATAAAACTTATTAATATATATGATAAAAAGTCATTAATACATTTACGACAAGACTTTCGTCGCATTTAAGATTATCCCGATAATTTGATCAAGGTCCCTCCACGTTGTGATAAGGTTAGTATCCAATACGAAAAAGAAAAAAAATCTTCTTCATAGAAAAGCGAACTTATATTCTGATTTCACGTCAAATTCATAAGATCCATTTGCAAAAAAAAAGTTAAGCAACCCGTCAAACACCAGCGGTCTTACTACAGAAGGATGTGAATTCCAAATCTTTCAGACCACTTATGATAGAAATAATTTTGGTAGTATCTTAATTACATTTTTATTGCATTTTTAATATCAAAATTTGCAAGGAAATTATATGTTCTGCCACACATTACTACAAATCATCTCTAATTAAAAATAAAAAGATAAAATGATTTTCTTATGGAATAGTGGCTTACGAAGGAATATATTTAATAGTAATAAAATACATGCATTATTGTAATTTTTTATATGTATGAATACAAAAGTATCTCGGGTACCAATTGTTCGAGATAAATCGAACTTGACAATAACGAGATTTTAAAGCACTAAGTATGCTTTCTGAAAAATTTGTTATTATATATAAAATTTAATAATCTTTTTTTTTCTGTATTTTCTCAAAATTTTAGTTATTAATATCTCGCTAATATAAAGGTATCCATTTGACTTATCTCAAATTTTTTGTATCCACATATTTTTAATTAAATTCATGTAATCACAATATCATTGATAAAAGAACGTAAGGTATTTTGATAAAAAAATTATCTAAATTGACAAAAATCAAAACTTATTAAATATAATCTCGTAATATATCTGCATGTATTTTATCATAGAAAAGTATATAATATACATATAAATTAATAATTAACAATATTCTGGAATGGCGGGATGTCTCCAATACCTAAAAATGATTTTAAAATAATTTAAGTTAAAAAATTAAATATATACATTCGTAATCATATTTTTTTGTTAGAGTAATCATCGAAAAATAAGCAAATTATTTGCATAAAGCTTAAATTTATTTACTTAACAATTTGGATTAAAAAAAATAATCATTATATGTATATCCATATATTATATAATATTAAATTCGTATTGTTATTAAGATATAGTACTATTACTAACATTATTATTATTATTAGTGGGAGATTTAATAAAACAAAAAAAGCGACGAAAATTGTATGTTAAAGTATATTACTAAATTAATTTCGTAACTTGATTTTAAAATATATAGCATATAATTGTCTGACTCATTGACAAAATTATTACTTCCAGTGAAAGACGAGAAAACTCGGGATTAATTCCGATCCTGTACAAGAATTTCCAATAAGATACCAAACTAGACTTTGCAAATGGACTTTACAGAAAGCGACGAGGAATAAGTCTTCATATGATATTGTAAAAATAATTTCGACTTTCTATCGGTACAAATCACGTATTCACTGCATCAATATAGCATCCACTTGACGCGAGGGACAGCGATGAGGCTTTCGTACATAATAAATTAATCATTAATATTTGTAATTTTTTAATGTTAAAAATATAAATGTAAAAAACAAACAAGAAGTTAATATTTGATCTATATTACTTCAGTCAAAGCTCGAATCTTTACTGACTTATTTAATAAATTAAATAGACGAAAAATTGACGATTATTTTAAACATCAAATTTTTAATTAAAAGTCACGTAAAATTATTAATGACTTTTTCATATTTATAATAAAATCCAAATTAAAAAAAATTTGTTTAATCAAACATCTATCAAATTCGTTAAATTAATAAACAATTTTTGTTATCATATGATTTTTTTATTTCGTCGATTTCGTGTAATTTACATCAATAAAGCAACAATAAATTTGATTTACGACAAGATAAATGCTATCTGTATGGAATAGATATATTTAATATGAATATATAAACATTCCAATAAAT